TATAATGCAAAATATTTCGCCCCGCTTAACGAGGATGGATCTATTTATCCGATTGGAAGTCAGATCACAAGTGGCATAGATTTTTTGCTTGTTTGTTTAGTATAGAAGATTTATAGTTTTTTTCGCTGGATTTATTCACTCTTATCATAGGAAAAAACAAAAACAAAACAAAGAAAAATTTAATTTACTAGCAAAGACATTTGAGTTCTTTACAGGATTCTGTTTACATACTTTGAGGGAAGAATTCTTTACCAAACGATTGACCACTCTCCCTATATTGTTGATTGATAATGTTCCGCAACTTTTCTGTCTCTTCACAGATTGCCATTATATTCGTTCTGTGCATATTCCTGGATCGATGATGTGGACGCTCACTCCAAACTGTTTGAGCTCTTGACGCAGTAAACCAGAGTAGCACTGCACGGCATATTTGGAGGCTAAGAAATAACAATAAAGGTTATGATCAACAATGAAGAAAATAAGAAAACTTTCTAAAATGGAAATAACACTTGTGGTAGATCCATTTTCCTAGCGTATCCCACATGGCTAAGTGACTCTGCTTTTTAAAATGAATAAACTAGATCATGAATCTTAACATCGTATCATCATCATCCGTCTTTTAATTACCTTTAACAGGAAACTCTCCATAACAACTAGCAATGTTAACAATACGTCGTCCTCTGCTCTCCTTAAGAAGTGGTAGGAACGCTTTAGTAACTTCTAAAAGACCCCACAAATTTACATCAAACACTCTTTTCATGTCTTRAATTGAGTGCAAATCTACCAGTGCACAGAAACTTATGTCTGCATTATTCACAATAGCCCAAAGAACTGCAATGTAAAAAAAAACTCCACTGGTCAATTCCTCGGTGATTCGCGTCAATTTGCAATTTGCACGCAACGCCGACAGGAAAAAACGACCTATCTGGCCCTAATGCTTGCGAGACATGTGACGTTGGTAAATTGGGAGAAAGAACAATGATTGAGTCCCTTGGAAACTTGACACCGCTTGTGTCGTCCCACACAGTAAAAAAACTCGCCGTCTTGACTGTTAATCATTTGCCTTCCCATGCTTTACCACGTTCTTCGACGCCTTAGCATAAATGCCCTACTGGCCTTTTTCAACTCAGTTGCTTGAAATCATGTCTTAGACTTGAATAGACTATTCATACCTGTATTATCAACAGTTTCCAAAAAGCCTTTCACGCACTCCAAACATCTCTGAATATCCTCTGACTTCGTGACATCCATTCTAACAGTTTGTAGTCTCTCAGAGCATTTGGTTTGCAATTCGTGTTCGCCTTCCTCGGTCAAGCATCCTG